GAAGGACGGAAGGCTGAGTCAACCTTGAGCCTGGTGAGACTCACGGTGGAATTATGGTGGAATAAGACCACTAGCACTAATGATGATACCTAGTTGGGTAATGGAACATCTGCAAGAAAACCAGCAAATTCAGGGAGCACAAAGGTGGTGTAAGATTTTAAAAATTGGAACTCACCCATTGAAGTTGAATTTTGGTTCATAGCAGAGCTTACAATCAAAGATAACGGGGTAGTCATCAAACCACCAATTGCTACTTAATATGTTCTTCATCCCCAGTACCACCCTGGGGAAGGTAACACTTCTTTTAAAACCATGTTGGAGGAGGGATTCTCAACAGCACGAGTAAGGTAGAAGACGTTGTTGAAGATATGTAAGCAACATTACCCAAAGCGACAAGAGTAAAAGCATATTTTAGGTTCACACGAGACAGAGCCTACCAGGAAGAGGCCCAGATAGACACCACAAACAGACTTGCAAGATCCTATTATTACAGCCACTCTCAATAAAAGTAGCTTTTAGTCTTTTTGTGGAGCAGATTCGTAGTCTGGTCTATTTACTGGGACGAACAATAATTTTGCAAGCCTGATTGCAATGGGAGGTGTGGTCAAGGCTATGGCTTTCCCATTGTTACCTCTGGTGGTGCAGGCAGGACCACCAGAGGGGCCAAATAAAGAACACAGCAGACCTCTGAAATATAGGAGGAGAGAGAGCTGCGGAGAAGACCTTGGTCCAGGAGGATAAATAATAAAGAAGCGCAGATATTTCCAGCTTATAATGCAAAGTTCCAAGCGCCGTTTGGAGAAGATGCTTGGCAAAATTAAAAGACAATTGAAAAAGAGGCCCATAGAAGACAAAGGTTGTCTAAACACTTGCAAGAACAAACAGACAATCCGGGAAAAAGGAGGTCTCTCCAGGTCGCAAAATTCAGAAGCCAAATGAAGGGCTACAGGAGGCAGAGCGCAAACATCCAGATGGCCTCTTGATGGCAGCAAAGAGAGACTGAATGTTCTAACTTTCTCTGGGGGATCACGTGGGCTTTCCCAGGCCAGGTCTTGTCATTCCAGGAGCGCTTAAGACTTGAACCTATTGTCTCCTGGTTGATTCTCCTGATGCACTTTTGGAGCTGGTCATATATAACCAGTCCAAACTAACCCAAACTGATCTTCAAAATCAATCAGAGTTGATAAATACTGGAATTAGAGACTACCAGGTCATGCCATGGCTGTAGATAAGATATCGCTCTGTCTCTCTACCTATCATCCAACCATCATCTACCTATCGTCTGTATATCTCTACCTACCTTCTCTCTCTCATATCCATCATCTACCTATTGTCTACCTATCCACCTGTCATCCATCATCTCCTACCTACCGTCTGCCTGCCTGCCTCTCTCTCTACCTACCTTCTATCATCCATCCATCCACCCGTCATCTCTCCATCATCTCTCTTATCTATCCTCTCTCTCTCTCTCTGTCCCTCCCTCCCTCCCTCTGATTAAGGAACTGAACTAAGAGCAGAGAAACCCCGGTTCTCATCTTTTCTTGGGCATGGAAGACAGCTGGCCGACATTGGGATAGTCATTCCCGAGGTAGTCAGAAAATATTTCTCTGCCAAGCCAATGAGAGATAACAGTCCATAACCTTCAATTCAGAAACTTTCATCTTGCACAGATAAGATTTGGTAGGGATTTTTACAGATATCGTGAATGAAAATGGAAACCTTGTATGATTTGCAGCTGAGAGAAGCACACAAGATGTATTCCCGAAATGGCTACAGGTAGTCCTTGACTTACAACCATTTGAAGTTACAATAGCACTGAAAAAAAGATTAGTTTTTTTTTTCCACACTCCTGACCTGTGCAGCATCCCCATGGTCACATGATCAAAATCTGGGCATTCGGCAACTGGCATGTATTTATGACGGACTGCAGCATCCCCGGGGGGCCAGGTGATGACCATTTCTAACCTTCCCAGCTGGCTTCTGACAAGAAAAATGAAAGGGGGAAGCCAAATTCGCTCAATGACCGCACAATTCGCTTAACTGTGGCAAAAATGGGGCACAACTCACTTATTGTAACATCTTCCTTAGCAACAGAAATGTTAGGCTCAGCTTACAGCCGTTAAGTCGAGGACTACCTGCAGTAGAGTCTAACCCTTACGTAGACGCGAGATTGAGCCTCCTCTCCATCCAACGTAGGCAGCCGGGGAAACAGTAGATGTGATTTGCATTTATTAGAGGATTTCAATTTCATTGCTACTATTATACAAGATATGCACTGCTCAAATCTTTCCATATTCCAGCTGTTCAGTTCATCCCAATAAAGCGACCAACCGAAATAACGTTAAGATTTTATACTGGCACGTATAAATGATATCTTTTGTGAAAACATTCCTTGTATAATTAAAACCCTACTTATAACCATTCAAGTAAGGTAGCCAAGAGTGGAAGGGGAAAGGGGCAGAGGATTAAAACAAATCTTGATCTTTTAGTCTCTTAAATAAACCACAGCCTCAAGGGAGAGAAGTTCTTTCTTTTTTTCTTTCTCCGTTTTTCTCGGTAGAGTTCATTTGTGTCCCTGTACAGAAACTGCCTCCCTTGCACTGCAAATAATAATAATAATATCAATGAAATTAAATTAAAAAAAAAAATACAGTGGGTCAAAGGAAATTAAAACAGCAACAAGAAAGTGAGTTGGGTTGGAAACGTTCTCTTTCGAAAAGGAGGGGGAGAAAAGTATGTCCCGTTGGATCAAAACTAAAGATGCCTCTTTTGTCTGCGTTAAGGCCTGGAGGAGATGGGTCTGTTGTTCGTCTGAATTGGTTTTGTTTTTTTAATAAAAGCAGACTGTATGCAGAAAAGTCCTGCCACTTTTCTCTTCAAATTCTTGTAATAGCTCATCTATCTCGTTTTCCATGTCTTCCGTGTGCTGTATCTGCAGAAAGTGAGGGGGAGAGAAACACACATTTAATTGCTTTAAACTGGAGAATAAACGTTTTCTTCAACTCCCCCACCCCCCAAAAAATGTACACAGGTAGTAATTTCCCCCTTTTTGCTACAATGAAGGTTCTAATTCAACAACAAATCGTAAAATACCAGAGGGGCACAACTCAGCTATATGCTTTTTCTCAATTCTCTCTCCCCTGCCCCCAGAGAAATAGTTACTATTCTTAATCATTCTTGATCCTAAGTGTATGGTGTCCAGAAGACCTTCCTCCTTCACACGTGAGCCCAGAAATCTTAGGATCGAGACTATTTTTCTTTTGGCCCTCAAAACTATCTGAATCCTCTATTTTTAGCATCTCTCCATGAGGACTAGCAAGTTGCTTAAAAAAATCAAAAAAGGAAATCTCCGCCAAATAACGATAAACAAAAAATACATCCTGCTGTGCTGATACCTTCTCATCTTTCCCCCTGGTGATTGAAACTGTCTTTCCCTTTATGCCTTTTTCTCTTTCTTTCTTCTGGATAATTCATTCAGGTATTACTCAAGGGGGTGGGGAGAGATCTGTTTGTTTTTTTTAAATTATTATTATTATTATGAATAGCATTTTGGGACTAGAGATCAATCCCCAAGCTGCCTTCCATACGCTGTCCCACTTAAAAACACAGCTGGTGTTGTGTGCACATGTTGTATGAAGATGTTCCTGGAGAAATAACCCTTGGTGGAAGGCACTGAGCCAAGCTGGATGAAGGAGATGGGAGATGTAGGGAGGGTTAGGCTAGCAGGCTGTGGGATCAGAAACCAGAATTTCAGCAAGAGGTTCCTTGGACTTACACACTGGCACAGCTCGCAGATAAGGAAGGCGCCCAGAGTTGCTTCTTCGTGATTATCTTGAATGTCCACATTTATTACATGCACAGGTTGACATGTTTCCTGTTCTCTAGAATTTAAATCTAAGAGGACACAAAGGAGGGGGGGAAAATAAGGTTAAGAAAATGAAGAAAAACAAAAAAAAACCAACCCCCCTTTTCTGTTTTACTGTAGGCAAAGCAGGAAAACTAAATGGTGACCGTGTATATTTAGGTCTGTGCTTGGCCCCAGGATTTGAATTCTGAACCCAATTAATGAACATTCCCAAATCTGCAAATTTTATACAGGTCTGTTTTGCATAATTTAAGGAGGTTGGACAAAGAGAGATGGGTATAATAAAGCAAAAGGCAAAGCATTCCTTTTGGCTTCTGAGGGACAAACCCCCCCCCCCCCTTAAAATATGTATGTGGAACATAAGAGCTAGAAACTTGCTTTCAAAACTTTTAAAGAAAGATGCATGGAGGACATTTGAGTGGGTAGAATTCAATGCCCAGTTCCTGAGCTTCCTTCCATACACTGCCCCACTTAATTGGGAGAACTAATTCTACTTTATTGTAAGTTTACTTTAACAGAATCTTGCAATCTGAAAGCCCACCTCCCTTGTCCCCTTTATAGTTGGAATATAAAGGCCCCAAGCTTGCCAATGCAACCCACCCGCTCTTGAACCTCCTCAAGCCCAGGCCTTACCTTCTACCACTTGATCATAAACTCTTTCTTCACACGTTAAGATCAAATCGAAGACGTCTTTGCAATTCTGGAATCTTTCTGGACGGGGCTTGATTCGTTTGTTTCGGTCCAACATGTGCAAAATCCCGTTCTGTGTATAGCTGAAGTGATCAGGGTTAAGGAACTCAAAAAAGTGGAATGGAACTTATTTTTATCATTGAGAACAGGACTTGGCTGGGGATCAGTGATTCAGAAGGGGAGGGGGAAAAATAAAACTTTAAATTGACTTCAAAAACAGGGATCCTGTTTCCCCTGGGGGAAAAAAAAACCCTCTTCCCAAACCTCAATATCATTTTAGAAATACACTTTTAACCTTCTCAATAGTTAGAAAACTGGCAGCTGTCTGGAAAACCCAGGCTATAAGTCAAATAAATAACATTTAGGAAAATAACAATTTCTCATAGGGTTTCATTGATTAGATGACCATGTTGTTAAACTGGAATGATTTGCAATTATCTATGTTAAAAGGCTTTAATATTAATATTTAGGCATTTTTATCTCAAGGCAGAAATCTTTTTATTGGTGAATAAGCCTGGCTGGGATAAAGGGATAACAGGTGTCTTTGCTTTATCCATCCATTTACTCTAAACCACATTATCATTATTGCTTATTCCTTCATGGCCCAAGGAAGGCAATATTTAAATGAAAAAAATATATTGGACGACAGCACCTCAATTCTAGCCTTTTTTGGTTTTGCAAAGCTACAGATCTGCTAATTGTAAAATGGAGGTGGCATTTTTTCAACCTGGTATGATTTCATTCTTTATTATCTGCCGAACATTTTCTGGGTGATCTACTGATTCTTTGCTTTGAAGTTTGTCTGTTGTTCCCAAACACCCCCAAGGACCTGAAATCTGCTAGATTTCTAGAAATGACTGTCAAATAGGTGTGTAGAAGATCAGGCTGAAAAATCAACGTGGCTTTTGTCCGTTTTCACCCAATTCTAGCATGCTTAAGGAGGCAATTGAACAAACTCAAAAAGATCCCAGAATGACCTATGTGGGGATTTTGGCCAACTTGGGTTGAGGAACATCTACAACCCCAAATAGCAAAACCGCATTTTTGCTACAACCCAGAGACTGATTAGGCGAAGGCCACAATTACAGATAAGTTATGGATTGTAGATATGTATGGAGACCATTTGAAGACTCAACATGTGCCAAACGTCTTTCCGCAACTATTGATAGGAGAACAAAACACTTGAAGCTGGAAAGCATTCCACATTCCTTGAGTGCTATTCTATGATGCCTTTCTTACTTGTGTTGAACAGAACCCACATTTGTTAAGGGAGAAAGGATTAGCAGCAATGTATGGTTCTTGGTGTTCCAGTGTTTGGTTGAGCTTACCTACTCTGCTAAATTATAGTTTACTGACTTACTCTCAAGCTTTGCCAACACACCAGATCCACTAAGCAAGGTTCACAAACCATGAAGACTGGGGACATGCTATAAACAAACCCCAAAGAATAATCTTGAGCAGAAGCAAGTTACTTCCAACTGAAGAGCAGCCCCAGCTTGGCGTGGAATTTGAAAGGCTGGTGTCCCATGGCCATTTTGAAAGGTGTACTGCGCTGAAATAATCCAATCAATTTGTAAGGGCAATTCCAAGAGGAAAGGAGCACAGATGGGAAATTATGTGGACTGTTCATTCCAGGACCTGCTTGGCCAAGGAACTAAGGTACAATTCGATGTCCACCTACTTCACACTAGAAGGTTCATATCTTGTGGTTTCAAGGACTGCAGTTATTAAATAAATGCCTCAATTGTACTACAACCATGATCTGCTAGTATGATATCTCTTGCACGCAAAGCAGAAAGAGAGTATTTTTCCTTTCATCCTTATAACATCCCTGCAGGGAATCAAGAGATGGCAACTGCACTAGAACGACTGAGTGAAGTTCAGGCACAGCCATGAGGTCTTCATACAAGTTCACTTAGAAAAAGTGGGCTAAGTCTTGGGCGTAGAACTTCAAACAAGGACATAAAGAAATGGGGAATGTGCTGGAACAAAAGAAGAGTTGAAGAAATTGACCTAGCGAGAGACAAGAGTTGGAGAAATGGACAGTGGAGACAAAACAAGCAGGGAATTGTTTCTCTCAAAATACTTGAAGGTTGGTCATGGAAGCAGCGGACAGGTCACATAACTAGCTTGCAGGGCATGTTTCTGTGTGAAAGGTCTTGTAGAAGATGTGCGATGGCGGCCATCTCAGACAGCTTTCCAGCACAGAGGATGAAAGACTACCAATAGTTGCTAGTCAACATGGTTAGATAACAATTTCTGTTTTCTCCAAAACCAGAAATGCTAGATCCTCTAGGTTTCTGAGAAACAGGATAGGTCTTCAGACAAGAATTGGGACAGTTCTGACATAGTATTAAGTCCTATGTCAGATCGGATTCCCACAACCGTCCAACCCCATATATTGCTGGACTAAGGCCTCCTGAGAAACTGTGCGTCATTCGCTGCTATGTGAGACGTGTCTGAGTAGACAAGAAGGGCATCCCCAGGCTCTCGTTGTGCCAAAAGCACAAATTCCCAGTAGTTATAGAGGGAATTTTTAGAAAATTAATCTGACTTCCGTATTCCCTAAGGAACTGCAGACATTGCTGCTCTGACAACTAACTCTTATGAATGTTTTATACATTCCTGAAGTGTCCCAGAGGCCAGGTTCAAAGGATGGCATCAAGAGAGAGTTGCTTGAAGGCCCGATTTGCTGAATGAACCCCAAATGGCTAATTTCACATGACACATTAAGCCACAAAGCTTGGTTTAGCCTCACATTCGTTGGGTTTACGTAACATATACAAGCCAAATATAAAACTAACCAGCATCTGGCGTTGTGGATCCAACTAGGGTTCTGCACATGTCTAAAAAGTGGCTGTCACGTTCTTTGCATCTACAGCAAACATTGAAATCCAAAGCTACCATCTATCTTGCTTGTACTTTCAAATGGCACGTGTCCATCTCTGGAGGGAACCAAAGCAACCGAGAACTTCTGCCTTCATTGTTGAGGCTCAAAGGAGAACTTTACAAGCCAGGCAGTCAGGAGATGGTGGAGAAACCTGAACCCCCTTCTTCCACAAGATCCACTCTTCTACTTTGGACCTCCCATCTACATTTCTTCTGCTGTCCTTCTTCCTTCCCCAAAGAGGAGCAATGCTTTGGATCTGTCCTGCCTTTTGAGGTGGGCTCCAAGCTTACCTTGGTTGATCTTGTGCTCTCAACCGCAGATCAAAACCACCTGGCAGCACCAACCCTTCCAAGTCATTTCTGTTCAGTTCCAGGAATGGAGAAGATGAAAATTGGGTCACTTCTCAAACTATTAAACATTCATTTCCCAACCAGAAATGCAGTAAACGGGATCGAGCTGATCAAATCAACCTGCCTAAAATGGTGACTGCACTTGTTCCACAGCGAACAAGGGAGATGCCACAAAGAGGAAGAGTGGGCAAGGAGACACGAGTGTCACCCCTGTATGGCAAGAAAGAAAGAAAGAAAGAAAGAAAGAAAGAAAGAAAGAAAGAAAGAAAGAAAGAAAGCTGAAGGAGGTCTGTTCTTCCTACGAGATGCCAAAGGCCCATGCAGGAAATACGAGCCAATTGACTTGCGTGGGAGAATCTCAATAGATAAAATAAACCCGAAAAGAGAAACCGACATTGATGACACAATGTAAGATAGGAGAACATGAAAGCTGTTACTCCGGTGCTTTCACAGGGCACAGCGAGAGGGAGGTGTCAAGTTAGAAAGGAGAAGCACCTTCCAAGGTCAGACAATATCAAAGCTAATAGAGAAGGAGAACTGCAATTGTTTCCCCCCACAAAAGCAAGGATCAGGATCTTGAGGGAAAATCCAAAGGAATGCTGCATGGATATTTCAGCAGTTAAAAGATTAGAGCAAACCTAACACCTAACCTAAAGTATGGAAATCCTTCTGAGTCACACTTTGGCCCTTTTTTGGTTTTTAACAGTGCTAACTACTGAAGAGACGAGCCACCAGATGCCTTGGACCTCAAGTTCCATCAGCTCCAGCCAGCCTTATTAATGGCAAAACACCCAGGGAGCAGCAGTCCCAAAATATCCTGAGGACAACCTCAAAGGTGCTTTTCCCAAAAGTCAGCCGGGCTTCCTTTGTTTTTCCTTGAAGATGTTTCGCTTCTCATCCAAGAAGCTTCACCAGAGTTCAGAACCATTGAAGCTTCTTGGATGAGAAGCAAAACAGTCTTCAAGGAAAAACAAAGGAAGCCCGGCTGCCTTTTGGGGGAAAAAACCACACATTTTTGAGATAATCATGACCTGGATGATCGAGGAACTACATAGCGTGGCAGGTTACCAAATCTCAGGAAGGAGGGGATGGTTATGAGAATCACCTCCATAGATTGGAAGGAATATCTCAAACAATGGAGAGGGAGGAGAATTGTAGCACCCAGAGGAACAAGGTCAAGCTGTGAGGAGGAATGAGACAAAACATTCAGAAAAAAATTATCAACATTTCAGCAAGGACTCCATGAAGGTCGCTTGCCAAAATTGGAACCGAGCCTGTGGAAATCTGCTTTAATATTAGCCTCCTTTCTACGGTCTTATTTTGCTTGTCCTCATCAACTCCTTATGGACTGGCACTCATTGTGGTTGGCCCTTTCTCAACTTGCCAGATGGAAAAACCAAGCTGCCTATCCAATCATTGCTTTTTCTGTGTTTTTTTTTTTTTTGGGGGGGGGGGGGGGGGGGTTGTTTGGTTTTTCCACTCTCGCACAGGTCCTCCTACATTTCAAATCCTCTTTGCCAGCAGAGGCAATAGCCATCCAAGTTTCTCCACTCAGGAAAACTAAAGCGATGGGATTTTTTTTTTTTCTCAAGGAAAAAAACCCGTGGATTTCTCAGGCTTCGGAAAGACCGTGAGAGGATGAATCGTTTTCCCTCCTGCCCCCAAAAAACAAGACCCCTTTCCCCCAACCCTTTCATGTGAATTTGAGACAATCTATAAACCAGAACTGCTGTTCCCCAACCCGGTGCCCTCCGGAGGTGAGTTTGGCGTTGGCTGAGCCTGATGGGATTTGAAGTCCAAGAGATCAGAAAGAAAAGGTCTGTCAGGAGAAACGAGAGGGGAC